TTGAATGCAATTTTCCTGCTTCTTGGCAGAATGGGGTTGGACTGGATGGCCCACGAGGTCTCTTCCAATTCTGTGATTTTATGATTCTATGATCCTATGACTATAATCTTTACTGTTGTTCCTGGTAAAACTCTGCAAACTTCAAGAAGCCTTGCTCAGCCCAGTTGACATATTTCTGGATTCTTTGGTGACCAGTTTCTTAGCAATTGCTATTTAAAATGAACTGATGGCAATTCATTGTGTTCCACAGTGTAGATTTTAGTAAGCAAGTCAGCAGAGCCCCATCTTCTCACACAATGCAACTGGAGCCTATAGAGTCCGGCAAAGCCCAGGTGGTCCTCTCCTGGTGGGACATCGACATGGACCCTGCTGGTTCAATAAAATGTACCATGGCCCCATACTGGGTGCAGCCTGCCTCTGACGATATCCCGGTAATGTATTAAAACCTTCTTAATCTTATGCTGTACTACTGTCATTTTAATGCTAATGGGTAAATTAGAAAATTCTGTATAGACCAGGTATGGGCAAACATAGTATAGACAGCTTCTGACTTGTTTACCATTCTCTGAAATACAGGGTGCAGCATCATAACTTCCTTTTTTAAAATGCACGTCATTCAGTCGGTTGAAGACGTAATGGAGCGCTAGTGGTCTCGTCCGAGAGGCGGGAGTATAAAATTTTGTCCTGACACAGTTCAGTCGCCATCATGCGTTGGAACAGTGAGGAGCGTGCTTTTGCCCTTGAGGCCTACTTTTCGAGCGGATGTTCTGTGATCACAACCCAGTGCGCCTTTCAGAATCGCTTTAAATTAGCTCCATTGGCCCCTGTCCCGGACAGGAAATCAATTGTGATGTGGATCACTACATTCAGACAAACTGCAAGTGCGACAAGGCGAAGAACTGGAGTCCCTCGGCCCATTACATCACCTGAGAACATTGAGGCAGTGAGAGCTTCAACGTTGCGATCACCACGGCATTCTGCGCGCAAACATGCGTCTGCCCTTGGAATTTCCGATCATTCTGTGAGGAGAATTCTTCACGATGATCTTCATTTTAATCCTTACAAGATGGCGATTGTGCAGGAACTTTCTGAACGTGACTTCAGTTCTCGGAGGAACGCATGTGAGGTTCTTTTCGAAGTCATTCCTGAGGACGCTATTGTTTTTTTTAGTGATGAAGCCCATTTTCATTTGTGTGGATCCGTCAACAAACAAAACATGCGCTGCTGGGCTGACAACAATCCTCGAGAATTGCATCCAAGGCCTTTGCATTCACCTAAAATCACAGTGTGGTGTGCCATTTCCTCAGCTGGAATTATTGGTCCCTGGTTCTTTGAGGAAAATGAAGTCGCAGTGACAGTGAATTCAGACCGGTATGTAAACATGCTACAGGATTTTTTTTCCCCACGGCTAGATGGGTTGGACTCAGGGGACATTTGGTTCCAACAAGACGGTGCAACTGCACACACTTCAAGAGCATCAATGGCTGTTTTGAGGGAACACTTCCCAGAGCGTCTCATCTCAATTCGGGGGGATTTGGAGTGGCCGGCCCACTCTCCAGATTTGGCCCCTTGTTTTGCACCGGGATTGTGGCGCAGCTGGCTGAGTGTCAGGTGCATTAAGATCACTCTGACCAAAAGGTCATGAGTTCGAAGCCAGCCCGGGTTGGAGTGGGAGTCCAGCCACTGTGTAGCCTGTTGTCGACCTTTGCAACCCGAAAGACAGTTGTATCTGTCAAGTAGGAAAATAAGGTACCACCTTGTGTGGGAGGCCAAATTAACTAATTTATGAGGCCATAAAGAAAAGACTCAGGCGAATGTGGAATGCGGAAGAACTTCATCGGTGTCGCTGGTGGACGATGAAAGCAGCAACTCCCCTGGCGGCCAGAAAAAAGTTAAATAGCCTCTGTGTATTGTCTGTATATGTTGTTTGTCAAACTGGCATTGAATGTTTGCCATATATGTGTACACTGTAATCCGCCCTGAGTCCCCTGCGGGGTGAGAAGGGCGGAATATAAAAACTGTAAATAAATAAATAAAATAAATAAATTTGAGGGAACACTTCCAGAGAAGAAGAAGAAGAGGAGGACGAGGAGGAGGAAGAGAGGAGGAGGAAGAAGAAGAACTTTATTTTTCTACCCCACCTCCATCTCCCCAAGGAGACTAGGGGCGGCTTACATGGGGCCAAGCCCAGGCAACATACAATTAAAAGCAAAACAACAGCAAGTTACAAATTAAAAAGACACAAAACACAATAACAGTAATAAACAAGCATCAAGCAACACCAACCCCATTTTGGAGGGGGGAAGGAGGCCAACATACAAAATGATTAAAAGGTAAGTAGTTCAGTAAAGTGAATAGGAACATAAATGGCACAGGAGGTATCATGGAAACAGAGCAATTAAACAGGAACAGGACCATCTCAGTTAGGAGGGATTTGGAGTGACCGGCCTGCTTTCCAGATTTTGAAAAAACCAAGTTATGCTGCCTCACTCTGTAGTTTTTATAGTCAGACTGGGTTTAAACATGATTCTTAATGGCTATTGTGGAGAAGGGAGCAACCTCATGGCCTTTATTGTTTTCATGCAGCCATTTCTTCTGAAATGGGTGACTAGTCCTGCATTCACTGCTAACATGTCTCTATTGCAAACTTCAGTTTCTAACACTGAAAGAAGGAGAAATGTTGGTGGGGTGGCCTAGTTTAAACATCAGTGCTATAAACATTTTTTTATGCTGCGGTTTCTCTCCATGCTTCCTTTGTAGTGGCGAGATCACTGGATGCAGTGTGTGTATTTCCTTCCTCATGAGGATCCTATCGTCCAGGGCCAGAGTGTGAACCTGACTGCCTTTCATGATGATTATTCTGTGTGGTATAAGCTTCAAAAAGGCAGGTAACTATGAGATGCTGAAGTGCATGGGGAATGTGAACCAAAGAATATTGGACTTGGGAAGTACACCATAATAATCAATAAAAAAATAATAAATATGACCATAACTATAATACAACTCAAATACAAGCTAGTAACTGTAGCAAAAATTGCACTCTTTCCCCATCCACTGTGTTAAGGTTTCAACACCAACCAGATGTCTTAATAATAATAATAATAATAATAATAATAATAATAATAATACTTTATTTGTACCCCACTACCATCTCCCCAAGGGACTCGGTGCAGCTTACATGAGGCCGAGCCCACAATACAACAACAAAAACAATATTTATTTGTCGTGTCAGGGCAACCAGTCAATTATATTACATTTCTAGCAGAACAAAGCAAACAAACAGGCAAAATACAAATTTTGTGAGTTTGGTAGTTGATTAAATGTCCTTTGACCAGTATCTGGCCACTTGGAGTGCTTCTGGTGTTGCCGCAAGGAGGTCCTCCATTGTGCATGTGGCAGGGCTCAGGTTGCATTGCAGCAGGTGGTCAGTGGTTTGCTCTTCTCCATACTTGCATGTCGTGGATTCCACTTCGTGGCCCCATTTCTTGAGGTTGGCTCTGCATCTCGTGGTGCCAGAGTGCAGTCTGTTCAGCGCCTTCCAAGTTGCCCAGTTTTCTTTGTGCCCAGGGGGGAGTCTCTCATTTGGTATGAGCCACTGGTTGAGATTCTGGGTTTGAGCCTGCCACTTTTGGACTCTCGCTTGCTGAGGTATTCCAGCGAGTGTCTCTGTAGATCTTAGAAAACTTTTTCTTGATTTAAGTTGTTGACGTGCTGGCTGATACCCAAAAAAGGGATGAGCTGGAGATGTCACTGCCTTGGTCCTTTCACTATTGGCTGCTACTTCCCGGCGGATGTCAGGTGGTGCAATACCGGCTAAGCAGTGTAATTTCTCCAGTGGTGTAGGGCGCAGATACCCCGTAATAATGCGGCATGTCTCATTAAGAGCCACATCCACTGTTTTAGTGTGGTGATATTTGTTCCACACTGGGCATGTATATTCAGCAGCAGAGTAGCATAGCGCAAGGGCAGATGTCTTCACTGTTTCTGGTTGTGATCCCCAGGTTGTGCCAGTCAGCTTGCGTATGATATTGTTTCTAGCACCCACTTTTTGCTTGATGTTTAAGCAGTGCTTCTTGTAGGTCAGAGCACGGTCCAGAGTGACTCACAGATATTTGGGTGTGCTGCAATGCTCCAGTGGGATTCCTTCCCAGGTAATCCTCAGAGCTCGGGATGCTTGTCTGTTCTTAAGGTGAAAGGCACATGTCTGTGTTTTACATGGGTTGGGGATCAGCTGGTTTTCCCTGTAATAGGCAGTAAGAGCACCTAGAGCTTCAGAGAGCTTCTGTTCTACCATCTCAAAACTCCCTGCTTGAGCAGTGATGGCACGATCATCAGCATAGATGAAACTCTCTGTCCCTTCTGGCAGTGGCTGGTCATTTGTGTAGATGTTGAACATGGATGGAGCAAGCACGCTCCCCTGAGGTAGGCCGTTCTTCTGTTTCCGCCATCTGCTTCTCTGGCCCTGGAACTCAACAAAAAAGCTCCTGTTTTGTAGCAGGTTTCCTATGAGGCGGGTGAGGTGGTAGTCCTTTGTGATATTATACATTTTTCTCAGGAGG